CCAACTTATTTGGAAATGAATGCTGCTGTGAATCCTGCTGAACTGTATTCAAACCAGTGGGACCTTCTTCCAAATATATTTATGGTGGTAAATCTTGTAAGTGGACCAGGGTTGGAGAAGCTATGGCCTTCCTGACGTTGTGCAGACTCCAGCTCCATTGACTCATCTAACACAGCCAGTGGTTAGCAATGATGGAGCTTATAGCAGTATCATACTTGGAGAGCCACAGGTTCCTAATCGTGCAGCAGGCTCACATTCTTTAACGCTGGTGTTATGAATGCTGATGCAAACACACTTCCATCCCTCATCATAGGCATAAAATACTAGATTATTTGAAACATTAGATCACTCAGGTAGAACAGGTTGCATAATAATGCAAATGCTATATAAATGTTACACATTGTTATGGCCTATTACCTGAGAAGCAGCAATAAAAACCTCTCTCCAAATTTGTTTGTATTATGTAATTGCCCTAGGAATTGCTTCAGGCCAAAAGATACTGGGTATTGTTTTTTACGCTTACAGACCCTTGCTATACTATCTTTCAAACTTATTCTCTCAAGCGTTTCAAGAAACCCAGAGCGTTTTCACAGATGAACACAAATCTTTGATTGCATATTCATTCCCCATGGCAAGAGACAATAAACCCCAGGTTCCCACTACCCCACAGACTTTTTCAAACCTTAAAACAGCAGGTTAAATGCAAGCAGCAGTGCAGAAAAAGTCAAGGTGACATCTATTTCTATTGCTAAGTGAAAGAACAAAGAGTGCCCCATTGCTTTGGTTTTACTTTAGAATTAATTTGTGCTTCACTTTGATCGTTAATTTTATTTGAGAATAGAAGTTGCCATTATGAATCAGACTGGGTTTAAAACCCTGGCACTCTTATCAGTCTCCCTCTTGCATACCTCTCTAATACACTTATCAGCTGTTCCACTTTGTTCTGAGAGGTTCTGAAGAAATATAGTTGATAATGGCTGCTAAAATATTCTGTTATTATTGTTCAGCTTCCTTCTTTCTCTTGCTATTATGGGGGTGGTCTCACAGAACGGACTATTTTTAGGCTGAGTGGTATGGCATGTTTCTTAACATGAAGCATTCTGACTCACCCTGTCTTCTGTAGCTTTTCACTGGCTGTGTTGACTTACAACAGTGTAACAAGTTGTTTGCCAAGATAAAATTTTCCTTTTCCCTCTTTCCAGTTTGCAAAAGGGCAAGTAAACCAACAAAGATGCTTAAACACCTCTTCAGAAACCAGAAGAAAAAAGCTATGAAGTTGTGATTTAGAAGTCTTTTTCTAGACCTTTCAGGGATACTAAATCTGTTTCCTTAATTCCTTTGTAAATCAATCTGGTGTACATTTACTTGGAAACTGTATATTAGGTAAAGATAGGAAGGCCTGGAAAAAATAGGGGAAAATAGGGTTTTTTCCTGATTTTTTCCAAATCATTTTTGTTTTGTTTTTCAGAAAAATTAAAAATATAGTGTGTGGAATATATTCTTTTACAATAATAGGTAATATGTCTGTGACATGGTATTCAAACAATATAACATGAAGACCTTAATGAAAGAGCTTTGAGATTTTATATATTTAAGTTCTCTGAGAGATTCTTAGGCAGATTTATCCCATTGAGTTCAATAGGAGGTATGACTTCATCAGCATGCAAATGATGCAGGACTATTCTAACCAGCAAGCGATTTGAAGCTCTTGGCTTTATTTTTCTCAATTTTATTGTCTTACAAACAAATTTTCAGGATGGCTCAGAAATACTGTTGTGCCAATTGTATTATCATGTCTTGCTGTGTTCTGTTGCTTTGCCATTGTGAATCTAACTACATTCTCATGCCAGTACAAAATATCATGGTGGTTCCCATTAGCAGTTTAGTGCAGTAGGACAGCTGGCTTGATTATTTTAACATCAGTTGATTGGAAGACAGGGATTGAAAAAGGAAGAAAACTAAGAATGACTTACCTCTGAATTTCAGCTGTCTTGGAGCCAATACACTTTGGTACGAAGTAATTTATCAGATATGTAGGGTTATTACCAGGGTGGATAAAAATCAATAAGTGTAATTTTAAAAAATTTAAGTGTTTTTAATTTAAATTGGATTTGTTTACATTTAAATTTGATTTTTTGAAATAAAATTGCCTTTGAGGAAAAATCTATCTAATAGTTTTCTATGTAAGATACATTATAGTCCAAATGTTATTCATCATGAAATAAGGATTCGTTTTTAATTACCGTATTTTTCCATTTATAACAGGCCCCATTTATAAGATGCCCCCACTTTTCTAACCCCAAAATTACCCTGTTTCCCCTAAAATAAGACCTAACCTGAAAATAAGCCCTAGCATGAATTTGCAGGATGCTCATAATATAAACCCTACCCTCAAAATAAGCCCTGGTTAAGTGAAAGCCCGCCCTCCACCATTGTGCAGCAACTAGAAGAAGACGACATGACTGTATTTGAATAAACATAGATTGTTGTACAGTGGTGCCTCGCTAGATGATGATAATCCGTTCCACTGAAATCGCTGTTTAGCAAAATCATTGCCTAGCAAAAAGCATTTCCCCATTGGAATGCATTGAAACCTGTTTAATGTGTTCAAATGGGGAAGAATTGTCGTTGTCTAGTGAAGATCGGCCATAGGAAAGCCGCTTTGAGAACCGCTCATCAGCTGTTTAAATCGCTGTCTTACGAAGCTTAGGTCCTGAAAATACCTGTTTTGTGAGCGCGGAGGGAGCTGCCAAAATCATCAGCTAGCGAAAATCGGCTTGCGAAGCAGGGACCAAACACTGTCCAGCGAAATTCCCCCATAGGAATCACTGTTTTGCGAATCGCTATAGCAATCACAAAAAGTCAATGTCTAGCGAAAAAACTGTCATGCGGGGTAACTGTCTAGCAAGGCACCACTGTACATGAAAAAAATAAAACATCCTCTGAAAATAAGCCCTAATGGGTTTTTTGGAGCAAAAATTAATATAAGATCCTGTCTTTTTGGGGGGAAACGGTAAGAAAACTTAGCTTTGAGAATTCAGCCTCTGAGCTCAGAAAATCGGATATTTTGTCTTTGTTGAATCTTGAACCTACAGGCTCCACCTCCAAGGAGGTGTGTTCCAATTGGTTTGTTCAGGATCAGCTGACATCAGTTCCATAAGGCTCATGATGGAGGAAACTAAGTTTCCTGTCTGAAGGAAGCCTGTTTAGAGACCCAAGGTATGTGCCGTTTTGTTCTCTCCTCAGCTGTCTCAGCTTACTTTGGTGTAAAAGATGCCCCTCAACTTTTAGGGTAATGATTTTAGAGAAAAGTAGCGTATTATAGATGGAAAAATATGGTATGTGACATCAGTTCCATAAGGCTCATGATGGAGGAAACTAAGTTTCCTGTCTGAAGGAAGCCTGTTTAGAGACCCAAGGTATGTGCCGTTTTGTTCTCTCCTCAGCTGTCTCAGCTTACTTTGGTGTAAAAGATGCCCCTCAACTTTTAGGGTAATGATTTTAGAGAAAAGTAGCGTATTATAGATGGAAAAATATGGTATGTAGTATGAGGAATGATTTTAGGGAAAAGTAGCATTTTATAGATGGAAAAATACGGTATGTAGTACAGTATGAGGCTGTATAGTCATGCAATGTTTAATTTTTTTTTGGTAAATTAGTCCATTTGCAAGGTCATGCTCTTCCAGAGATTTCTGTAAGATTATTAGGCACTTCCTCTATCTAGAAGATATTATCACAGATGCTTGGTTTTACACTTCTCAAAACTGAATTTGTGTCTGCAGAGTTCACATGCCTCTTCTTCACAGCAAAAATGTTATAAAATAAACATACGCAGTTGAGAAAAATACCTCAATCGCATTGCCCCTTTGTAATCTATGTACACAGAATCAATTCCTCACCTCTTTAAGTTACTTTGTACCAAAGTTTCAAAAAATTTCAATGAAGAAGATTGTTTGGGAGTCAGATAGATCTGCACAAGAAGCTAAGTGTGAGGAGGGAGGGGCAAACAGGAAAAATGAAAGTGAAACCTTTTGAGCAGAATACAAGTCTTTGGGTACAGCCGGACATTTATCACACTGTTCTTTCCCTGGTGGAGATGACCTATAATACCAGTAGGTCATAAAAGAAATCCAGTTTGGAAATGTTTTAATGAAGTTCCTCCACGTATAGGTAAGACAGGCATGTGTGCAAAATGCAAACACTGCAACAAAGAAATGCAAGGCCTGATGGTTCTGAGTTAGCTCTACCTTTCTGTGTTAAATTAAATGCAGCAATGTTGTAATTAAAGTAACCAGCAGGGGTTGACAGTTTAATGGGCAGCCAAGTGGGCTTTGATATTCTGTTCATCTGGCCGAGAGATGGGCACAAACTGCCAGTTTGGCCGACAGTTACACAAGCGTTCCACAGTTCGGCACCCCACCCCCTCTGGAGGGTGCCCATTCGGTAGGCAACACCTCAGCTTCCCTTCCCTGCCTCCTCCAAGCACTACCTCTGAGGGGACGCGCCCACCAGAGGGGGATGGGGCACCCAACCACAGAACACCTGTCTGGCCAGCAGCCGAACCAGCATGAACTGATGAACCAGCACTTCGTACCCATCTCTAATCCTGATCACCAATCACTCCCTTCTCAGGTCAATCTCTGTTTCTTCCGGAAAGGCATTTGCCTTTGTTCCCCTGCAAGGAAGGATGCCTGTGAAGTATGGATGTAGATACTTCAGTTTTGAATATGTGGGAGCCAGCTCTAGGAATTCTATGCTAAGGTCTCTAGAGTTATCCTATTGTATCACAGACAATCCTATTGTATCACGGACAATATTGTCTCATTGTATTACAAACCTGATCTTTTCCTTTTACCTTACTGTGACTGTCTTTGAGTTATTATTCCTCATTTATAGCTCTAAGCTCACCTTACTAACCTGCTGTACTCTACTAACATAATTACCATATATCTCCACAAGAAATGGTTTTCTTTTTACATACAGTAATACCTTTTACTTACCATTAAAAAGATATCCAGTGATTAAGACTGATGATTCTGGTTCAATAACAAGCAAAGAGCCAACACATTCTCTTCTGGTAATAGATGACTTTTCCTATGTGATGTCCAGTTTGGCCGATCTACCATGCATTTTTCTACCATGCATTTTTTCAAATACAGGATTTATCACAAGATTCCATTCTGATGTCATAAAGCAGACAGTTATTTCCTTGAAAGCTTTCCCCCTCTTTAGCAGCTTAGATATGTATGTTGTAAAAGGTAAGGACAAAGTTCAATACGATAAATTGGGTGAAGAACACGATTTCCCTTAGTGCTGGGAATTTTCCACTGTCTCTTTTGTACAATTCACGATTCCATGTTCCTTTACAGCAATTATTTAAAAGCTGTTCTAAAATGAATCCTACTAACATCTTAACTTCACATATCACATATATCAATTTTATCCATGGGTTGTGCACAATAGATCATGAAAACATATTTTATTACTTTGGATATGGTTGGTTTTTAAAGTGCCATATGCTCTTGGTTGATGCAAAGGTTAAATGAAGGAAGAAAACTCAATTTATCTTTCCTCTGCCATTAAGTTATTACCTGCCATGGCTAGTTCTTCATGCCTCATTCAAATTAAACAGCTTGGTATCTTTTCATCCCTTTAACATATAAAAGCAACCTTAGACTTTCAGTCATTTTCTTGTTCTCTGTACTTTTTCTGTTTCTAACATATTCAGATTGAAGGTTAAATGAGGGAATTTGAATATGTCTGTCTGTTTATGGGTTTCATATTGATTTTATATAACAAATTAACAATTTAATCCTTAGTCTTATTTTGTTCACCAAAAATTTTCAACAAACATATCAACCAAACTTAACTGGGGACCCTCGAGGTGATCTGGACCACAGATCAGCTGAATCACAGTTTCCATCATCATGACATCAGTCATGCTTTCTCTTAGGAGTCAGGCTCCAAAACATCAGGAGGACACTATACTGGGGAAGGGTGCTATACGGTAACATCTAGCTCCGTTGCTAAACTGTTTAATTGAAAATGCAATTCTACATAGGTCTATTTAGTCATAAACCCTATAAAGCTCAGCAGGTCTTGCTTTCATGTATTTTTCCTTAGGATTGTATGCTTATAACTCCAGTGAGGGAATGAAAAGTTTATATCATTTATTATTTCTTTTATATTAAATTCATGCCCTGCCCTGGCTATGACCCTTGGTGGGGCCCAGAGCCTCCTGTCCTCGAGTGCCAGCTGAAAGCTGACAAGGAGCATCAGAGGAACATAAAGAAATGCAAAGGGAGAATGGAACAACTTTTGTCTTATGTACAATGCTCTTCATACTTTGAAATGCTGGTTGTGTTACCATGCCCAAAGTGGATAAGACCAGGCTGCCTGCAAAACACCAAGGTAGCATGAGCTAGAACTATATCACAGGAGAGAGCAAAAAAGTGTCAAGAGTTTCCAATCTAACTGGGGGAAGTGTTCTTTTTGTTGGAAAAAAGGCTTGAGACTCTGAGACAAAATATAAATAATAATCTTTGTCTAGTTCTCTTTGGAAAAGGGTAAACAGGACATCCTAAGAAAACAATAAAAGTACTAAAACTACATTACAAAACATACCAAACCATGAAGGGAATTAAAGGCAGGGGCAGCAGCTCAGGCAACACCCACAAACTCAGGCAAGCACACACAGTCTCTGCCTCACTTGGTCAGTCAACACCATTTAAGGGTGAAGGGGAGGGAGAGAGACAGAGCTGTATAGGGCCTCCTTGATTATAAGGGACAGGTGAGGTCTTTAAAGATATTAACCCACAGTGGGTATCACTGGTCTAGAGAGTCTCTGATTATTTATTTATTTTATTATATTTCTATCCCGCCCTTTTAGACGAAGTCTACTCTGGGCGCGTTCCATCAAACATTGTAATCTAAAACAGTTAAAAACAATTAAAAACAATAGTAATTAGTAATGGTTAGTAGCGCTCAAGATGGGAAAACAGAAAATTGTTATAAAAATAAAGCCAAGTATTGACAGGAGGGAAGGTCTGCCTAAAGAGCCAAGTTTTTAAATGACTTTTAAAAATGCCCAGCGAGGGAGCCAGGCGGATTTCCATTGAGAGAGTATTCCACAACTGAGGGGCCGCTGCCGAGAAGGCCCGGTTTCTTGTTCTTTCCTTCTGGGCTTCTCTCGGTGTAAGGCCCCTCAGCTGTCCCTGCTGGCTATGGCGAGGGATTCGGGTAGATTTAAGTGGGAGAAGGCAATCTGCCAGGTATCGAGGTCCTAAACCGTTTAGGGCTTTGTATGTCATCATTAACACTTTGAAGTCAATGCAGAAGTGAATGGGCAGCCAATGCAAGGTAGCCAGAGTGGGAGAGATGTGCTGGTACTTTCTCACCCCACTAAGGACTCTGGCCACCGCATTCTGCACCATTTGACGCTCCCACATAGAGCGCATTACAGTGATCTAATCTCGAGATTACAAACGCACGGACAAGAGTGGTGAGAGCCCCACCATCAAGATAGGGTCGCAACTGGGCAATCCACCACAGATGGAAATAGGTGGAGCGGGCTATGGACGCCACCTGGGTTTCCATGGTAAGCGCTGGGTCCAGATGTATCCCCAATCTGCGCACCACACTCTTTGCAGTGAGAGTCCCCCCCCCAAAAGAGAGGGAGTTTCCCAAACTGCCAATGGAGGGGCTACCCACTCTCAAGACGTCCGTCTTGTCCGGGTTAAACCTCAACCCCAAGAATGGAATGGCATCCACTGAGGTAGGTGAAAAGATGTAGAGCTGAGTCTCATCAGCGTCCTTCGGCTCCACAAGAAGGAGAAAAGGAGTGGGACCCCCTGGATAACTTGCCAACCCTAGGTCAGCTGCCACCTCCTTATCCAGCTAGAGGGGCCAGTGCAGCAGCTAGAATAAGCCAAAGGGAAATCAGAGGTGCGATAGAGGGAAACAACCATCATGGAGGTAGGTGAAAAGATGTAGAGCTGAGTCTCATCAGCGTCCTTCGGCTCCACAAGAAGGAGAAAAGGAGTGGGACCCCCTGGATAACTTGCCAACCCTAGGTCAGCTGCCACCTCCTTATCCAGCTAGAGGGGCCAGTGCAGCAGCTAGAATAAGCCAAAGGGAAATCAGAGGTGCGATAGAGGGAAACAACCATCATGGGGATGGTCGATCCTTCCGAACTGGGGAAGAAGATCCCACGGACATTGGTGGGGCAGGAGGCAGTGAAGGAAAGGAGGTTGGAGCTGTAAATCTTAATCCATTCCATCAGGTCCCACAAGGAGGAGGACAGACTGGGTATGTGGATGCTCCCTTAACTTCCACGGAACTAAGAGCTGTCCGAAACCAGTTACCTAAACTAACAGAAGACCCAGAGGGATTTTTAAAAGATCTAGAGGGAATGCTCGGGACATCCACATATTCAATCCAGGAGTTTATATATTGAAGCAAGACACAAGCTGCTACAGCCTAGGTGGGAAGGGCCCTTCTTGGTGTTGCTAACATCTGAAACTTCCATACGAACAGCCGAAGGAGGGATGGACCCACCACACATGGACAAAGTTGGTGCCAGCTCCAGCAGAGGAGAATTCTAGTCAGTGGACGTGTTCCCAAGACCCGACAGATCTTCCGAAGATAAAGCTGAAGAGGTGCAGAAGTGTGGACTAAAATAGGTTGCCTGCTTTTGTTTGTGTTGGGAGTGATACTGTTCTCACTGGTTATTGGACCAGGAACACATGTTAACTCCTGGGCAAGACATGCACACCACATTTTTATAGCAATGGGAAAGGGTGTGACCTTGATATATGAGTCTCCAGCCTCTGTAGGATCCATGAGTGTGGTACCTGGACTGATAAATGATGCCTCTTTAATAGTAAGTTCATTACAGAGTATAAGTGAGGGAGAAAGAAAAGATATTATTTCAACAAGGTATCTGAACATTTAAATGAAACTGAAGTTAGATGGCTGAGATATACGAAAAGCACTAAAGGGCTGTGCTTCTGTTGTACTCATCAATGGAAGAGTACCAGGATTTAACAAATCTAAGGAAAGATTTGACCAGTTGGGAAACTATACACATTGTAGGGACGACTTTTGGCTTTCTGGTGAAGGGACAACCTTGTTTAGTAATGGTAGTGGATCAAGTACACACGGGGTGGTGGGAATGAATGCAAGTGATAGCACTCCAGCCGACATATATCCTGCCTTTCCTCTTCTGCAAGCAAATTATTCAGAAACAGGAAGCATTTGTGGACACATGCTTCTTAAAGATCCAAATCTTTGGTTTCTTTGTAGTGGCCTCTATGAATGCATACAAATGGATTTCTTCTGCGCCTGTGCAGGACGTTTCGGATGATTCTAGAGTTTAAAAAAGAATAAAAATTAAGATTCCCCCCCAGGGCGCAAGCTCCGCCTTCTCAACCTTCCCCTCAGTTCCTTTTTTTCCGCTGTTTGGTTAGAACGTGAGGAACAGTAGAGCTTCTATAAGGAAAGTAAATATAGCCTTTTCCACCTAATTTGTATTTTTCTTCTAGCTATTTCCTGTTGGAATCGATATTAGTTATTTCCCTTAGTGATTAGAACCTTTTTTTCCCAATATGACATTGTTCTTTTCGCTTTCCCCCCTTTCCCCCCCTCTTCCCTGGGATTTTTTCCCTCTTTTCTCCTGCGTTTTATGGCCCCGAGGGGATTTAAGATACCGCCCGTTGATGTGATACTCCCCCACGAGATCTTCTCCCACAAGTCATCCTTGACGCCAAGAAGATCAACCTCTCTCTCAAGACAGACCGTCACGAAAGAGAATGGCGGCGCCAGAGATAATTGTGCCAGCAAAACAATCCAAACATACTAGGGGTCAACCCACGGTTGAAACATCAACTATCTATTCTGGACCTCATAGACACAATGTCGAACCTCTTTCGATATCTACCCAACCAGATAACGACCTCATGCCAAGGGCCCATATTGAGGGATCAGACCATTCACCCTCGATATCTTCCATCTCCTCCCAGAATGACGGTTCATCCTCATTGGACAAGATAAGACACCTCCACCTAGCTTGAGCCTCATACTGG